AGGCGTCGACACTCGCCACCCGCGCGAAACACAACGCGACACCAACATTCACGTCGACCCTCCCAGCCACCCCGAGCTGGAACTGAGCTGCCTGACCAGCCAAACACTTCTCGAAGTGGAGCTCCGACGTCACTTCCCGTTTGTCAACAGCAAACCGATTAAGATGATCTGGCATGTTCATGTGCTCCAAGACGGCTTTGCGCAGGACCACGCCCTCGTTGGGGATGATGGTCTGATTTTTTCCACCCGAAGCCTGTCTGACACACAACTCCCGCTTGAGGTGATTGGCTGTGCGGACCATGGCTTGAAGTGCGCTGTCGACGCCTTCGACCTCCTGGGTGTCCGTAGAACGGCCAAACCTCCAAACTAACGGGAAGCCGTATCGGTTGCCGGGGCATGTACCCTGCTCTGCCACAGAAGCGAGCTCCGCCCCGACGAGGATCCTGATCTTCCACTGCACATCGCTCTCCTCGATCGCTCTGGGCCCCTCTGAAAACTTGCCGGGAAGCGCGGTGGCCACTGCCGCGCGCGCGTCGCCACGCCCTTACGGATATCATGGCCCCCGCCATGACATCCCCCCCTAGTCATCACCCCCTCTTGGCCGCCCCCGAGCAACGTGGACCCCCGGAGCTCTGGACACCGACCCGCTGTTCGTCCCGAAGGGTGTGCGGCCCCGGGGCCCCCAAAGAGGCCGAACGTGGTCAACACGTGCCCCCGTCTTCCGTCGTGGCTTCTTCACGGTGCGAGGGGCACATACCGGAAACCCAACCCTGAGACCCCATCTGCAGGGCAAAATCATCGAAGCCCGAGAAACCCAGGGCACCCTGAAGGCACGCAGGGTGTTTCTTGGCATGGGTCTCCACTGTACCTCGGGTATCTGGCGGCCACTCGGGACGAGTCGGGCGCCCCCAGTGCGCCCTCAGCGACGCGCTGGTTGAGGGCATTCCGAGACTAGATATCTCCTGGGTACGACTAGACGGGGTCGGAGGATTGCACCGCATCGCCAATGCATCGGCGATGCATCGGCGACGTCGGCGACGTAACGGCGCAATCGGCATCAAGAAATTCGGTCTCCGCATCGAGCCGCATCGGCGATGCGGACCGATCCTTCGACCCCATCTACTCCGACCCCATCTGGGAGGCCTAGACAGAAAGGAAAACCTCCAGGAGCTAACGGGAGCGTCCGAAAACCTTGAAACACTCCAACCCCGAAACCCTCGATGGCGCCCGGACGACTCGAAGCCATCCCGGAGGGCCCACGGGAACGGGACCCCCAGGATGGGGCACGTGTATACGGGGGATCAAAGAGATACCGAGGATACGTAGGGATCTAAGGATCTAGAGATCTTGGGTTCTTACCCCTAGATATACATGTATATATGAGACATGAGAGGCCCCCTGAAGTATGATTTCATGGGGTCGGAGGATCGTGCCGCATCGGCGATGCATCGGCGACGTCGGCGGTGCATCGGCGACGTCGGCGTGGAGGAAGTCGGGCTCCACATCGAACCGTATCGCCGATGCATCGGCGATGCAGCGCGATCCGCCGACCCCATGTGCTCGGACCCCATGTGGGAGGCCTGGATGCGTGTATGGGGGATCAGAGAGGTGCCGATGATGCGCGGACGCCCTGGACCTCTCTCGGGGGCCCGGCCCGACAAAGGTCTCGAGGCGAATATCCAGCTGTGGGGACGAAGGGAAGAAAACACGAATTACCCGCATATGTTCCGACTCGGGATACAATCCTCTTCGTTTCGCCCAAGCCCCCAAACAATTCTGCATGAGCCTACACGTTTAGAGGTCCGTGCGGATTCTGTTTGAATCGGCCGTGGATCCCCCTCCCTGGCGCGCGGGGCGCGCCAAGAGTGGCGCCAGAGGCGCCGACTGCGGGTCCTAAGGGCGATGCGACAAATGCGCGAAGCGTTTCGAACGTTTGTGTTTGCGTTGCTTCTTCATTCGAATACCACCACCGACGCCGACACTGAAGACGACGGCGACCACGACGATGATCGCCATCGTCATCGACATACGATTGGTGGCTCAAATATGGGGCCCTGAGGGATTGGGCCATGCAAAACATGAGTCGCAAACTGAACCACCACAGTTCGAGGTTCGCGTCCTCAGGCCCTCGGGGTCGAACCACTGAAATAACAAGCGGTATCAAAACATAAGCTTGTTACGGGAGGTCCGCGCGGATTTCTTGGCCAAGCGTTGGACCCCCTCCCTGGCGCGCGGAACGCGCCAGCTGCGGCGCCCGAGGCGCCGCCAGGGGGCCAAGCGCCGATCCTGAAAAATGGGCGCGGACATCCGAATCATGTTGTTTATGCAGTCTGTCTTGCGCGTGGTAAAAAATGTGTCCCTGCTCGGGCGAATCGCGGGGTGGCGCCCGCAAAATTGAAAATCAACGGCGGCGGCGCCAGTGATTAGCGCCGACGCCCAGCCGCCAGCGGGAAGGCGACAGACAACACAGACTAGGGGAGGAAAGGGGGGCGGGAGGCAAAGGCAACAAAAGCACGGACCGTGAGCCAGGGCGATACCTGTTTGACATGGAGAAGAACTGCTGTCAGCACTCGCCCCCGCACTTTCCGTCTGTCGAAGCGATGCGTTTCCTTTGCCCTGGCCGCAGCCATTGGGGCGCCAGCTGCCTCGCGGGCCCGCGAGCAAGGCGGGCTGGACGAAAGGGGGGCGTGGCCAAGAGCAGATTTGCCCAGCAGCTCACACTGCTGATTTTCCGACCGCCCCCTGGCGCCGAAAGCGGTCACGCGTCGAGGGTTGGCCCCTCGGCGGGGAGACCGAAACCAGTTCCGCGCAGCAGGATTCGCAACCCCCCCTTTCCTTCCCCAGCCTGTCGTCCGACCCGAGTGAAGCGGGCAGTGCTCCTCCCCCCATCTGTCGTGGTCTCTATAGTCGTCGACGACGACGACGAAGACGAGAACGACGACGAGGACATCGACGAGGGCGAGGACGAGAACAACGGACGGCGAACGGCAGACGGCGACGGCGACGACGACGACGCACTACTGGGGGGGGGGTGCTGCGCAGGCCCGCTGTAATCGACGACGACAGTGACCACGATGACGACGATGACGACGACAACGACAACGACAACGACAACAACAACAACAACAACAACAGCAACAACAACAACAACAACAACAACAACAACAACAACAACAACAACAACAACAAAAACCACAACAACAACAACAACAACAACAACAACAACAACAACAACAACAACAACAACAATCACAACAACCACAACAGCAACAACAACAAAAACAATAAAAACCACAACAAAAACAACAACAACAACAACAACAACAACAACAACAACAACGACAACGACAACAACGACGACGACGACGACGAAGACACGACGAAGACGACGACGACGACGACGACGGCGACGACGACGACAAGCACGACGCGACGACGACGACGACGACCACGACGACGACGCACTGCGGACGACGACGGCAACGACGACGACCGACATCGACGACGACGACGCAGACAACGACAAGGACGACGAAGAGAAAGACGACGACGACGGCGGCAAGGACGACGAAGAGAAAAAAGACGAACGACGACGACGACGACGACGACGACGACGACGACAAGGATGACGCAAAGACGACGACGACGACGACGACGACGACGACGACGACGACGACGACGACGACGACGACGACGACGACGACGACGACAATTATGACGCAAATACGACGACGACGACGAAGACGCGACGACGACGACGACGCACTGCAAATGCCCTATGGCGGCGGGGGGGGTGCTGCGCCGGCCCGCTGTACTCGACGACGACGACGACAACGACGACGACGAGGACGACGACGAAGAAGACGACGACGACGCACGCCTGAGCGGGGGAAACAATTCGCCTCGGATGTGTACGACCCTATACGACATGTAATCGTTTTGAGGCTGTCATGCAGGGGGTACACAATCCCCTCGGCGGCGCCAGCGACGACCCCCTAGGCGCGCGTGATTGAAAAACATGTTTCGCGCCCCGCGGTGTCTACTCATCAGCCCCAGGGGGGTCATCTGTTAATCACAAGCTGAGATTATTCGAATCCGCCGACCTTTTGGGGTCACGGCGTGTGAGCTGGTTCCCATCCCCATAACCCCTTCCCCCGGAGCCTGGTCGGGCCGGTTTAAAGGGCGGGGAGGGGGGGCAAAAGTGCCGGCCGCACCCTCGGAGCTTCAGGGGGGCCCAAAACGAGCCAAGAGGGCCCAAAAGGCTCCCTGGACGGCCTAAGAGGGCTAGAAGTCGCCGAAAGATCGCTTCAAGACGCCCAAGATTGCCTCCAGACGGCCCCAGAGGCCCCCAAGACGCCCCAAGAAGACACCAAGGCGTCCCAAGAGGCCCTCCAGAAGCAAAAACCGTCCCATGCCCTAGGGAAAACGTACATTCTTAGCACATTCGCCTCTTGGGCTTTCACGAGGCCCACACAACGGCCCAAGAAGCCTTCAGCCCAAGAGGACCCCAAGAGGGCTCCAAGACGGGCCCCAGAAGCCTCCAAACTGGCCCAGAGGGGCCCCAGGACGGCCCCAAGAGGAGGCCCAGAGGGGGAACACGTATGGACATTTCGAGCACGCGGCCCTGAAAAAACCTGAGGTTGCTCCCACGAGGCCCCAAGAGGCTCCCACGAGGCCCCCGTCCCCAGAAATCGCGCGCGTTCCGCAAACTCTGTTTTTCACTTGTGATGCCGCCCCAAGGGGTCGGCGGTGCGGCGTCAGCCAAGGAATAAAGCGAAACTATGTCTTGATAAAACTGGCTCAGACCACTTTGCAGGAGTTCCAGAGTATCTGGCGGCGCGGCCGATGCGGAACGTTAAGGAGTATTGGAAATCCTTGAAATCTTGGAGATCCTGAAACCTATCATTATCATGACCTCTTGCTCCTATGAGACAGGTGACGGACGACAGACAGCGACGGCGGCGTGGGCCGCGGTCGCGGGCGGCCCCGGCGGAGGGAGCCTCATTCTCGCCCTGCTAAGATCCTGGGCCGCGACCGGGAGAAGGCAGGGATCGAGCGTCTGTGCAGTTCCATCTCCCTACTCCTCCTCCTCCTCCTCCTCCTCCTCCTCCTCCTCCTCCTCGTCCTCCTCCTCCTCCTCCTCCTCGTCCTCCTCCTCCTCCTCCTCCTCCTCCTCCTCTTCCCCCTCCTAATTACCCTCCTCATCATCCTCCCCCTCCCCCCTCTCCCTCCTCCCTCTCCTCTCCCTCCTCCTTCACCCCTCTTCCCGGTAAACAACTCCTCCCTTTCGCGCCCTGAGGCCCGCCGAACGAGCAGCCCAGGCGTTTCGCATGAGACGCCTCCTCACCATTTATGATCCTGAAGATTGAAATTTGCAACAATGTCACCGATGGCGGCCGGTCCGCTTGAGCAATGGAGGAGCCAAGAAGGGAGGAGGAAGCGGCCGCGGAAGGGCCAGAGAGCTCCTAGGATCATGCAGATCTGCAAGCTGCGCTGGAGGTCGGGCTCAGGATCCTCGACGACAGCTCAGACGAAGCCAGGACGAGGAAAACATCGGGTAAGGATATACATGGGGAATCTCTGGGATTCGGCGGCTCTGGAGGATGTCGCGGGCGCCGCGGCCGGCTCGTAGCGTTCTGGAGCGGACTTCGGTCCTGGCCCCACCCGAGGTCAGGCTCATGATTTCGACGACAGCGCAGCAGGAGAGCGAGGGACACGCCAGAAGGCAGAGGCCCAGGGCAAAGGCACTCGGAAGGGCAGACGAGGCCCCCCCGACACGGAGAGGTGCAGCGTGCAGCCTCTGCGGCCCACCGCCCCTCGGCAGAAGGCCAGGACAAGCCTTCAAAAAGCTCACGATGGATTCGGCGGCGGGCACCGGGGTGTTGGGGGAGGGAGGGGAAGGCATCCTGGAAGGAGGCTGCTTCTCGGAAGGCGCCGGCCGTACGTCTACGGACAGGGCCCGCGCCCTCCGAGAAGCAGCGGTGCGTCTGAGAAGGCCTCCCCCCTCCTCCTGCCCCCTCTTCGTGTGGCCGACCTTAAGCCCAGACACGCCACGTACTGATTACACGCGGTCCCCCTGAGCATCGTTCATCCGACCCCCATCCCCAGCGGCGTGGCCTGGGCCCCACTGGCCGATGTACCCCCCTGCATGGGGATATAGGCCGTTCCCCTCGGGTTTCGAGGGGTGTATCCCAAACTTGGGGGGTAATTTGGTGGTGGTCTCGAAGGGGATCGGGATGGGGATGGGGGTCGGATAAGCGAAACTGAAGGTTCTGACTTTTCCAAAGCGCGGCGGTCCCCCGACCCTGGCCCGTCCGGGTCCTCGCACCTCGATCCGCGAGCGGCGATCCTCCCCCCCCCCCCCGCATCCTGCGCCCCTCGTTCCCCTCATCCGCTCCTCCCCTTCCCGCCTCCATCGATCCCCCCCTGCCCCCCCCCCCCGATCCACCTCGACCAGCTCTTCGTCCCGAGTCGCTGTTTCAAAGTCCTGCGGCCCGACGAAGGCCCCCCTGGGAGGCCGAAAGGGGCCACACAGAGCGTGACTTTTTTGTCTGCGGCGCGATCCTGTCTGGGAGCAGCTTACGACGGGGAGAGGGGCCAAGATTAGAGGCCTCCCAGATGGGGTCGGAGTAGATTGGATCGGGGGATCGCGCCGAACCGCCGACGTCGATCGGCGGTGTATCGGCAGCGCCAGCGTGGAGCAAGTAGGGCTCCGCACCGAGCCGCATCGCCGATGCATCGGCGAGGCGGCGCGATCCTCCGACCCCATATCTGCTCCGACCCCATCTGGGGGGCCCAGAAAGATGGGGGGGGCACCCCTCAGATCCAGGCCTCCTCCTCCTCCTCCTTCTCCTCCTCCTCCTCCTCCTCCTCCTCCTAAGATGCGGGGCCACCCCTCAGATCCAGGCGGCACAACAAAAACAAAAAACACGCGGCGGTCGGAGCTCTTGCGGGGTCGGCCTCTCTGGCGGCCGCCTCTCCCGGCCTTCTTGGTGCCGCTAAGAGACTGCACCAGGGATATGAAACACGGGTGCGTACCGGGGAAGAGGCCGTGGTGGGATTGTTTCCCACCGCCACCACCAGAAGCAGGAGGGGGAGGGGGAGGGGGTACTCCTCCTCCTCTTCCTCCTCCTCCTCCTCCTCCTCCTCCTCTTCCTCCTCCTCCTCATCCTCCACCTCCTTCCCCCCTCCAACTTATGGTGGTGGTGGTGGAAACCAGGCCCACCAGGCCGACCACAGGGGATACTATGTCGACCCCCAGCCCAGGCTTCGCGCGGCCAAGACACGAAGCCAGGACGGTGACGCATTCGGGTGAGGATAAATCGAGAATCTATGAGACCCCGCGGTGGTTCCCTTCTTTTCTGGCCGTCCCCGCGCCGCGTGGCCGGCGCACCCCGCCGGAGCCGACCCCCGCGCCTGCGACCGCAGGCGCTGCTGGGGAAAGCCAGACGAAGCGAGGACGAGGACTAGATCGGGTGAGGATACATCGAGAGTGTATGAGATCTGGCGGCTCTGGAAGATGTCTCGGGCGCCGCGGCCGTCTCAGAGCGTTCGGGAACACTTGGAGAACGCTCTCTGGAACGGACTTGTCTCATCGACCTGGCCTCGCCCTGGCCCCGTCGAGGGACCAGAAATAATCTGGGGCCCAGCCCTGGGATGCACGATGGGGCGATGGGGGGGCGTCCATCCTCGATGGTGGTGTATCCCAGGGTTCCCCTCCTTTCCTAGAGGCCTCCTATATGAGGTCGGAGTAGATGGGGTCGAGGGATCGCGCCCTATCGCCGATGCATCGCCGACGCATCGGCGATGCATCCGCGATGCATCGGCGACGTTGGCGTGGGGAAACACGGGCTCAACATCGAGCCGCATCGTCGATGCATTGGCGATGCGGCTCCATCCTTCGACCCCATGTACTCCGACCCCATCTGGGAGGCCTAGATTTCCTAGAGCGGCCTCATTTCTCGTCGAAAAGTCGGGGGCTGGGGCGGGAGGAGAATGGCCCGGGCCCGCAAGCCGAGGCCCCATGGGGGGCCTCAGCCGCGACACGACGGCGCCGTCGGAGGAGGGGCGCCGGGGGGGGCCACCAGAGGGGGAAAGCGCGCTCGGCCACCGCTTTTCGAGGGCCCGGGCAACCCCGAGACCAGAGGGCGTCAGAGGCACCGTAGAGAACCCTTAGGACAAGCTGTTCTGGGGGGGGTAACTAGGAGGGCGTAGATGCTTTTCGCCCGGGTTGGTGTTCGCCCGGTGCGTTTCGCCCGGTTCGTTGGCGAAAACAAGCCCAGGCGACAGCCAACCCGGGCGACAGCCAACCCGGGCGGCGAAAGCCAGCACGGGCGAAAGCCAACCAGGGCGAAAGCCAACCAGGGCGAAAGCCAACCGCGCGAAAACCAACCCAGGCGAAAGCCAACCGCGGGCGACGGGCATGGATCCCGGGAGAGGGCCGCGGCCCAGAGGAGGACAGGAAAGGCAAGACCGCGAGGGAAATGGAGAAGGGCGACCAGGAGGGGAATGGGAGGAAGGGGAGTCGTCGTCGTAGTCGTCGTCCTCCTCGTTGTCGAAGTCGTCGTCGTCGTCGACGTCGTTGTCGTCGTTGTGTTATTGTCGTGGTGGTCGTCGTCGTCGTTGTCTTCGCCGTTGACGTCGTCGCCGTACTCGCCGTTGTCGCTGTCGTCGTCATCCTCCTGGTCGCCGTCGTTGCCGTCGTCCTCGTCGTGGTCGTTGTCGTCGTAATGGTCCCGCCCGTCAGGGTCCGCCCGCCCGACCCGACCCGCCCGTGAAAATTCACGCGTGCTCGCTCCGTTAGGGTTTGCTCGACCCGACCCGATCCGCCCCGCCCGTTAGGGTCCGCCCGCCCGACCCGGCCCGCCCGTTAGGGTTCACGCGTGCTCGCTCGGGCGTGACCCACACTTCAGTGCCCCCGCCCGCCCGACCCGACCCGCCCGTTAAGGTTTGCTCGACCCGACCCGATCCGCCCCGCCCGTTAGGGTCCGCCCGCCCGACCCGGCCCGCCCGTTAGGGTTCACGCGTGCTCGCTCGAGCGCGCCCCACACTTTAGTGCCCCGCCCGCCCGACCCGACCCGCCCGTCAGGGTCCGCCCGACCCGACCAGACGCGTCCCGCCCGTTAGGGTCCGCCCGCCCGACCACGCCCCCGCCCAACCCGTCCCGCCCGTTAGGGTCCGCCCGCCCGACCGGACCCGCCCGTTAGGGTTCACGCGTGTCCACTCGAGCGCGCCCCCACACTTTAGTGTCCCGCCCACCCGACCCGACCCGCCCGACAGGGTCCGCCCGACCCGACCAGACCCGTCCCGCCCGTTAGGGTCCGCCCGACCCGACCGGACCCGCGTATTAGGGTCCGCCCGACCCCGCCCAACCCGTCCCGCCCGTTAGGGTCCGCCCGCCCGACCGGACCCGCCCGTTAGGGTTCACGCGTGTCCACTCGAGCGCGCCCCCACACTTTAGTGTCCCGCCCACCCGACCCGACCCGCCCGTTAGGGTCCGCCCGACCCGACCCGACCCAACCCGCCCGTTAGGGTCCGCCCGACCCGACCCGACCCGCCCGTGAAAGTTCACGCGTGCTCGTTCTGGCGCGCCCAACGCTTTAGTGTCCCGCCTACCCGACCCGACCCGCCTGATAGGGTCCGCCCGACCCGACCCGACCCGACCCGACCCGTCCCGACCGTTAGGGTCCGCCCCCCACCCGACCCGCCCGTTAGGGTTCACGCGTGTCGCTCGGGCGTGACCCACACTTCAAGGCCCCGCCCGCCCGACCCGACCCGCCCGTTAGGGTCCGCGCGGCCCGACCCGACCCGTCCCGCCCGTTAGGTCCGCCCGCCCGACCGGACCCGCCCGTTAGGGTTCACGCGTGGGCACACGCGTGCTCAGTCGAGCGCGCCCCCACACTTTAGTGTCCCGCCCGCCTCGACCCGCCCGTTAGGGCCCCCGGGTTTGTTTACGCCGGCGGCTCCCACGAGTCCGCAGTCGATCCCAAGGACAGGTTTTTATCCTGGCGCGTGAGCCATCCCGGCCCCCCTGCGGCCGACCCCGGCCCACAAAAACCTACCGTTTTGTTTTTCCCGGGCGTCGGAGGTCTCAGCGCGCCCCCTTCCGCCACAGCTTCCACTACCACCGCCAATGCCCCCACCGGCGGCGACCGCCACCACGACCGCCGGCCGCTTGCAGGGGCGCAGAGAAACAGAAAAATTGCTCAGAGGGGACAGGAGACATAGACTACCCCCTCACCCTTTCATCGCCGATTGGCGCCAGAGCGCCCCGCCCTGCCCAGGAACGCGCGGCTTCCCTGTCTGGGGGCTTATCGCCAACCTGTCGGCGATGTGTCAACCATTCTAGAGCATCCGGCACCTCCCTGAGCCCCCCCCCACGTCTCTTCGCCCCATGCGCCTTGGCAAGCGGCCATTCTTGGCAGCTGTCGTCGACAAATTTAAAGAGGGAACTTCGCGATACACATCGTCAAACACGTCGGAATCTAATTCTTTATCTGGCGAAGATCCTGCTCTGGAGCCTTGGGTGGATTGGCTGGAGAGAACCGCGCACGAGCTGGAGGTTAGATGTCGTAAACTACTGCAAGTTCGGGATGGGGTCGCAACCCACAAGAAAGCAGCTTCAAAATGGCTTGGGCAAAGGCAAGAAGAGGGAGATTCCTGGGCACGCCGTGCACTAGTACGGGAACCCATCGGAATAAAAAGGCGGGCAGAGAGACCCAGGTCGAGATGGGTTGACATTGCATCTTCTATTACAGTGGAAAGGTGTGTTGCGAGAAGAAACGTGGAGCAGAGGCTCCGCCGCGCGCCCCGCTTCGGGACGGCCTCTGGGCCGGCACGCGCAAGGCGATGGGCGATGGGCAAGCGGCGCGCCTCAAGGGCTCCCAGGGGTTACGACGGCGGCGGCGACGGCCACGCCAGCGGCGACGGCACCTGCTCCCCGCCCGGCCCCGGCGAAAGCCAACCCCAGCGAAAGCCAACCAGGCGAAAGCCAAACCCGGCGAAAGCCAACCAGGCGAAAGCCAACCCCCTGCGAAAGCCAACCTGGCGAAAGCCATCCCCGGCGAAAGCCAACCCCGGCGAAAGCCAGCCCCGGCGAAAGCCAACCCCGGCGACACGAAGCCCGGCGAAACGAAGCCCGGCGAAAGCCAACCCCGGCGAAAAGCGTCCGTGCCACTGGGAGGGGGAAGGGCAGTAACCGACAAAAAAATCTAACCCTTCTGGAGCGGACAAAAGTTAGGAGCGCCAAAAACATTGAGGATAAGGGGGTCTTCCTGCAGGAGTTATGATCGCCACTCCAAAGACGTGGACCTAAGTGAGGTCACGCCTTCACTATGTTATTACGGTTAGGGTTTTGTCCCCCTCGATGAGGGGAGGCGTCCTGGTTCTTCGAGTACTCGAAGGCGGAGCAGAAGGAGACGCCCTCGTCCCGGAGCCACCTACGCCCAGGGGAAGCCAGAGGGGAGGGGTCGGGCGACGTCAGCTGACCACCCCACCAATCCTGGCCAGACCCATCCTGGCCCTGGGCACGACGGGCTCGTGTCGCGCCGACCGCGACGTTGCTTTCTGACACCGCGGGGATCGCTCAACCCTGAACATTCGGCCGCTTCCTCAGTGTCCGATCCTTCAACATCAACCGACTCTGGGTCGCCGGCGGCACGCAACGTGGAACGCCGGCGGCGGGGTCGCCGCTGGTCGACACGGCACGAACCCGCAGCACGAGCGGAGAGGTGGCCAGCCGACATCGCCCGAGCGGGGGGAAAGGCAGGGAGGGGGGCCTGGGGGCAAGGGGCGGAGTTGGGGTCGCGGCGTAAGATGATGAGGGCAGGGGTCGACCACAACAGCGTCCTGCGTGTTCGTCTCTTTGTCCGGCGGAAGCGCTGCAGGACGACAGCAGTCCTGCCGCTGCCTCAAAACGCCGTCTCGGCGCAAGTCCCAGTCGTGATTGGCCAATGGCGAGCCCTAGACTGAAGCAAAACGAAAACGAGAAAACGAGCACGATCCACGATACTGCCACCAAAACAACGTCGGGGCCCATCCCTGGATGAGGGTAAGAGAGCATTTGTCATTTGCGTCCGGTCGCTACGGAAGGGGAGGGGGGTAACGGTCGCTATGCAAGGGTAGGGGGGCATAACGTAACGCCCCCCCCGCCGGTCTGGCACCACAGACTGGTGCCGGACGCACTGCGGCAGCGCTGGGGAAGCAGTGGAGGGGGGGGTAAAGGAACACTCTCGTACGCGAAAAAGAGCTCACACCAAGACCTCCAGCTCCGCGCTGTGAGTACATGATGGCCCTGCAGGCGCCGGCTCGCGCCGGCAGGAGCAAGGAGCACCGCTATACACGGGGAGCGTTTTCCACTCGCGGCGAGGGCGGGCGCTTTGGGGGGGGGGGAAGGGCAAGGGTGACATGCGGGACTCCTCCTCCAGGCACGCACGGAGGGACACCGGCTCGTAAAGCCGAACCCCAATTTTTTCAGGATGGCCAGCCTCCTCTGCCCGACTCGACGGCGGACACATGGGGGAGCACGCCCGACACGGCATCGAAAGCAGTGCCTGGTCGGCGCGAGAAGCTGGAAGGAGGCGCGTCGATCCCGAGCGCGCCCCGCCTGTGGAGCTGTGGCAATTTTGCTTCCACCCTGACGAGCGAGTGGTTTGGGGACGGTGGGGAGCCGGGGCAGATGCAAGCATCCCCGGCATGACGAGCTTTGCGGACGCGATGCGGGGGGGGATTTCGCATAATATGGAGATCGACACGTACTCCAAGTCATCGGCACCATAGCTAGCTCAGCCGTCGGGCTCCGCAAAAATGGAGCTCCAGGGTTGAAGGGCAAGCGAGTGGTTGATGTTCTCGACCCGCTGGGCAAGTGCTTCTACGCTGACCTCATGCAAGTTCCAGCGGGCGTCAACGACTACGGATTCATCAAACATCGTCGGCGGGAGGGGGCTATCATGACGGCGCAAGTGGTCACATGAGGCTTCCACACTCGTATCACACCTTGGCGCCGAGACTCAAGGACGTGAGCAACGCCTTCGCGTCGGGCCCTCTTCAAATGTGACGGCCACGTTGGAACTCCATGTTGAAAATGGCTTGGACGTGCCACTGGCGATGCATAGATATCGAGAATCACGCATATGTTTTCCTGCGTCGGAGATAGTTCCCCTACGGCTTCAACCAGACGACGGCGGCACCAGGGGGGACCTCGTCGTGGTCACCTTGTTCAGGGCACCTTCAATAGGACAATCTTCTCCTGGAAGTATCGCGATTCTCACCAGATTGCCCGCTGTTTGAAGGCAGCGGGAAGACATGCGAGCCGACTTGAGATTCTTAAATACGCGGAAAAGATCTAGAATTACACGGTCGACTCTCGTATTCAAAAGATCTCGGAGCTTCTGAATTGGATGAAGGCCTCCGACGAGGCCTTCGAGGCAGAGTTGGAGGAAGTGGGGCTCTGGGCTAAACTAGCAGGTCACGCGTTTTCTCGCCCTGAGCCAAGGAAGTCTTAAGTGGACAAGCGCGTTCCAGTACTCGCAAGGATACTATTTGCAAATGGCCTGGAACCGCTGCGTTGGATGTTCGGACTACCCCTGCAGGTTCGTGGGCCCCGAGTTGGTCCCCGACTTTATCGAGCCAGATTTCTCGGTGATGAGGTCACTCCAGGCTCGTGTTGATACGCCTCCTCCAGGCTATCAACCTCCTCCTGTGGCCCCTGCTCCCCCTGGTCTTGAGCCCCCTTGCGAATGGAAGTGTGAATGGGTGGAGGAGTTGCGAATGGAAGTGTGAATGGGTGGAGGAGGACGGTGGCACATGCAATGCAGTAATTCATACTAAACGGGATTTACCCTGTAACGCCACTCGCGGGGGTAGAAACCAACTGGGTGCAGTTTACTCCGTGGAGCGTCGTGTTGTCTCCTCCACCACTTCGTTTCTTGCGCCAGACGTCCACCCCTGAGGTTCCCGGAAGTTTCCACAAGGCTCGCAGGTGGTCAGAATAATGTCCCGAACATCGAAAACTAAGTTATCCGAGGTTTCGTCTTCGACTCCGTTCCCAGAGCCCCGACGTGGTGTCTGTCCATCGTGTCCCTCCTAGCTCCCTCCCGCCCTCACATCCTGCCACTATCTCGCTTTTCATTCCACAACTACCCGTAGCGCGAAAGCCATGCCCCCCCCCCCCACACACACACACACACACAAAATCTTCTTGCCCGACCTTCGACGCTTGCCCACCCGCTCGCCTCTCTAAGCCCGCCTGCCCCCGCAAACAGAAATAACCCGCCGAAAGGGGGTACGCTCGAAGACGAAGAGGGCGGGTGTCGAGGGTGCGGGGTATACGTGTTGGATGACACGCGGGCAAGTAAGAGCGATCAGTCTAATAATGATTAGTAGTGTTGTTGTTGTTGTTGTTGGTGGTGGTGGTGGTGTTGTTGTTGTTGTTGTTTTTGTTGTTGGTGCTGTTGTTGTTAATATTGTTGCTGTTGTAGAAATAGTGCCGGCTTCGTCAAATCGAACCGGTCACCGTTCAGATTTCATGTGGGGGTCGCCAACGGCAACAATCGCGCCGGGCGTCGGAGCTGGGATCGCCGTCGTCATCGTCCTCGTCGTCGTCGCCGTCGTCGTCGTCCTCGTCGTCGTCGTCCTCCTCCGCCTCCTCCAAACCACACCTATGACCACCCCCGCCGCCGCCGAACCCTGGCTTTCGCACAGAATGCCCCGCCGGATTTCGCTTCCCGTCGGCACCTCCCTTTTTTCTCCTTTTCCAAAGTGCCTGCCCTCCCCCTCCTCCCCCTCCTCCTCCACCTCCTCCTCCTCCTCCTCCTCCTCCTCCGCCTTTCACACCTCGCGCGCCAGGCGCCGGCCCCCCCAACCTCGCCCTCCCCAGGCGCCGAAGCGGGAGGCGGGAGGCGAGAGGCGGGAGAGGGGAGGATGGAGGAGGGAAGGGGGAGGGAGGAGGGAGGAGGACGGATGGGGAGGAGGCGGATCTCGCGCACGGCGCTATCGGAGCCATCGAGGTTACGGATGAGGCAGGAGGAGGAGGCGGAGGAGGAGGAAGAGGAGGAGGCGGAGGAGGAGGAGGAGAAAGAGGAGGAGAAGGAGGAGGAAGAGGGGGAGGAAGGATTTGAAGCAGGACGGATGAGGAGAAGGATGGCGACGACGAGCAGGAGGAGGAGGGAACGACTCCCGTCCTGGAGCCTCTTGGTGTCGCCTTGGCTCTCCTATAGCGTGCTGGGGGTCCCGTGGCCTGTTTGGGCTCTTCGGGGTCTCTTGGGGCCTCTTGGAGCCTCCTGGGCAATCTGGAGCTCCCTGAGTGTAACTCAAAGTGGGTCCTCCGGGGGGCTCTTGAGATCTCGTGGTCTCTCCCGGGGCCGCCATGGGCCCTCCTGGAGCCTCCGTGGGCCCTCTAAGAACTCTCTCGCGGGGGCGGAATGATGAAAACAATTTCACGCATGGGGGCCTTTCCGTTGAGAAGGGGGGCGCGGTGCAGAGTGGGTCCTCCTGGGGCCCTCTGGAGATCTCCTAGGCACTCCCGAGGCCGCCATGGGCCCTCCTGCAGCCTCTGGGGGCCTCTAAGAAGCCTCTCGCGGGGGCTGAAAATTGATGACAGTTTCAAGGATGGGAGCCTTTCCGTTGAGAAGGGGAACGCGGTGAAAGGTAATAAAGTGACGACAATGTCGCACTTGAGGCCCCAAATCGTCCTTGGAAACCTCGGGCGCGAATCCCCCTCCCTCATAGTACGGTGCGATTTCCCCTCCCCCCGCTGTCCCGCCGGACCCCCGAAGGGTGATGTTTGTGGTTTTCGCTTGTAAGAAACACTTCCCCCCCTCTCGACGGTGACGGAGGGCGGGCGCCGGGGGTGGGCGGGTTGGCGGGGTGGCGGGTTGGCTGGGGTTGCGGGGTGGCTGGCTGGGCTGGTTGAGCCGGTTGAGTTGTTTGGGTGGCTGGTTGGTTGGGCTGGCTGGCTGGGTTGGTTGGGCTGGCTGCTTTGGCTGGCTAGGGCGATTGGTTTCTGCTACACCAACCTCGTGCCAGACACAATGTCCGAAACGCGGGTCATGTCCTGTTCCCTACAACTGCATGCCTAATATGCCGCACGGTGCTGAGCTCTCGGTTTGTTGCCGGTCGTCATCTTGCTCGGCCTTTTCATACGGGGATACGTTATTCCTGAGGGGGCTCGGAAGATTTATGGGCTGACTCCTCCTGAGAGCCTGTGTTGTCGACTATGTGGGGTGGAGCACGCGGATTTTGACTACCTGTATATCCATCTGGTTCACCACCTACCACGAGCGGCGCTACCTTGCCGCCCACCCTCTCTTTCCGCTCGCGGCCAGCAGCCACAGCAGCATGGCCCTCGAAGGATAACCGTCATGGATGGCGGCGCCACCGGCAGCGAACATGTAGGTCAAGCCACCAGCGCAGAAGCGGGCAAGAGCGAGGAGGGTGGCGGCGGCATCAAGGGATTGCGCGAAACGGTGAAGACGATGGGGCGCCTCGTGTTGGCTGACTCCCGCGAGCTCCAGGACGTCGCCGAGGTCGTGTTCAAGCGGTTCGAGGTCAACGAGGGCAGGCTGTCGGAGATGCACGAGGCCATCGGCGAGGCATACAACGCTCAGTCCAAGGTGCTGCGCGACGAGGTGCAGGCGGGCGAGCAGGTCGACTCCGAGGCCTGCGGCCCTCCGTGCGTGGCAGTGTTCGCGGCGTCAGTGAAGCGGTGGGGCACGGAGGGCAACCTGGCCAACGCGGAGATCACCAAGGGCTTCGCGGACCCATGGAAAGATGTGATCATGACGAGCACCCCGGGCAAACTGACGGCGCTGGTGCCCTACTTCCGCTGGAAGCCGAACAAGGGCAAGCCCGACAATGACAAAGACAAGAAGGACAAGGGCGACAAGGGCGACAAAGGGAAAGTGAAAGACACGGGCAAGGGTCAGATCATGTACGCGGTGGATCTCTCCTACGTTCACGGGCATAACGCGATAAGGGAGATGAATGGAGTATACAAGGCGCGAGCGGCTCCACCAGGGCCGTTGCTCAGGGCCCTCTCCCAGATGATCCACGACATGTGAAGTACGTTCAGCAAGGTCAAAGCGAACTGCAGGCGCGAGGAGCTGATGAGCCGAACACTGAGGCGGCGCAGAATTTTTTGAGAGGCCCGATGGGGCTCGACTGGACTCAGAGCGCGAGGCTTCAGGAATTGAAGTCTTCCGGCCGTCCCTTCCGCCGCTCCACCCATCGCCCGACCTCGGTCCCGACAGTCTCTTTACCTAGGCAAGCGCCCCGTGGGCGCGGTCGAGGGTCGAGTGTGTGCACGTCGAGCTCCCAGCCCCCTCGGAGGCCCCCCATCGATGCCAGATGCCCGAAGCAAGGGGCACGCCTCCTCACAGGGCGGTGCGCAAGGAGCTGGGGCCTGCTGGCCCCCCTCCCGCCCTGTCGGGAACGATCGGGGACGACCCAGGAGGCCTGGCCTGCGTGGGTGCGCCGTCCTCGGCTGGGCGAGGGGGGGGGTCCTCAGATCACGGCGTGTGCACGGCTCTCACGCCTTCTGGAACGGTGTCCAAACGGCGTCGCCCCTCAGGATCCAAGTTTCGCGGTTTTGTCTTCTCTCGCTGCCAGGTCAGCTGACGGAGGATCCCACGAGCATGTCTGTCTGTCTGTCTGTCTCCTCCCATCCTCCCTCCTCCTCCTCCCTCCCTCCCTTCCTCCTCCCCCTCCCCCTTCCGACCAGGGGAGATGGTTTCCGATAGGGGGGGGGGGGGGCGTTATTCATGGAGGGTGGGAGGGGCGGAGGGAAGGAGGGGCACAACGCGCGGAATGGCCCAGAGGATTAAAAAAACTATCAATGCCAGCGTGGTCCCCTTCTGTGCTGGAGGGGGGGCTAAAAGGACAAACCGATACCGTACTCCACGGGCCTCTCCCGGGGCACTTCTGACCAGAATCTCGAAGCGAATCCTGCCGTGGCGATGAGGGCCTCCCAGGAGCGAGGACGACGGAAGGGTGGCGGTATCGGTACCATCACCTCCTCCTCCTCCTCCTCCTCCTCCTCCTCCATCTGGGTTGGCCGGGCTTCTCGGGAGCGTGAGCGCCCAAAGAAGATGAGATCTGGCGACAAGAGCAAGAACCGTGGGCTAGAACCGGCAATTTGTGAGAAGTGGCACGTGGTGCCCAGATCGGGGAGACAGACAGGCAGACAGACACACTCCTCCGGATTCCTGCTTCCTGACGGCATGAAGATCCACCGGATGTTGCCCTCCAACCCCCCAGCCGGCCCTGAGGGGCTGATCAATATGATGAGCCAGGCGTCTCCTGGAGAGTTCGTTCCAGGAGCCGCCCGCTGGTGGGATAAGATGTAAGACTCCTCCAGCTCCTCCTCCTCCTCCTCCTCCTCCTCCTCCTCCTCCTCCTCCTCCTCCTCTTCCTCCTCCTCCTCCTCCTCCTCCTCCTCCTCCTCCTCCTCCTCCTCATTTTCCTCCTCATACTCCTCCCCGCCTCCGCGCCCTCCACTCCTCCTCCTCCTTCTCCTCCTCCTCTCCTCCTCCTCCTCCTCCTCCTCCGCCTCCGCCTCTCCGCTCCTCCTCCGCCTCCTCCTCCTCCGCCTCCTCCTCCTCCGCCTCCTCCTCCTCCTCGTCCGGGGGGAGCAGAGGCGCGGAGCTCCTTCACTGTAAGACTCTCCTCGTGCCTGCCTGCCTGCATGCCTGCCTGCCTGCCTGCCTGCCTGCCTGCCTGCCTGCCTGCCTGCCTGCCTGCCTGCTTGCCTGCCTGCCTGCTGCTGGCATCCCTCCCTCCCTCCTCCTCCTGCCTCTTTCCCCCCCTCCCTCCCCCCCCGCCCTCCCTCCATCCCTCCCACCCTGCCTCCCTCCCTCCCTGCCTCCCTCCCTCCTCCTCCTCCTCCTCCTCCTCCTCCTCCTCCCTCCTCCTCCTCCTCCTCCTCCTCCTCCTCCTCCTCCTCCTCCTCCTCCTCCTCCTCCTCCTCCTCCTCCTCTGGGGCCTCTGGAGCCTCTGCGGACACAGTCCCTCAGTGAAAGACTGGCCCGACGGGGAAAACTAGTGGACAGGGAAGGGGCGCCCCACACTCTTCTTGGAAGTGGGATCCATGCCCTGGCGCATGTACTTCAACGCCCCCGCCTTCCCCGTCCCAGCAGAGCGGAAGCAGCGCGCGGCAAAGTCCTTGACCTGCTTCCGCGCGTGGCACCCGCACTGCATACAGAAATACAAATCCGAGCCGCTCACCCACATTCGATGAGTCTCGTGTGTCCTCGCAAGCACTCTCGGCTTACCAGGACACTCATACTGGATGACCGCACTTCGAAGTGCCGCATTCACTCCGCAAATTCTGCATCCCCACCTGCCGTCAGCTGTGTGCAGCAGGTGGCCTCGATCTCCCGTGGTGAATTTTAGCACACACGCAGGGGTTCCTCGCTTAACATCTGGAACTGCCTGGGAGCCTTTGTAGCCCTCATGGCCTTATCTACAGCTGGAAACCCGACACTACTAAGACGCTTCAGAGAGCCTGCCAGGAGCCTCGTGAATTGCCTACCGAAATGCTTGGCCGCCTGGATCATTTGATCCATCTGGGGAGCTACGGGATGCTCTAGAACCCCCAACCTCGCATACTTATCGGCCTGACGGTTTCCAGGGTACCAGGAGTCCGAGAAATCGTGATTCCTGAGCCACGTTTTACTCTTGTGCGACTCCTCCTCCTCCTCCTCCTCCTCCTCCTCCTCCTCCTCCTCCTCCTCCTCCTCCTCCTCCTCCTCCCCTCCCCCTCCCCCTCCCCTCTCCTCCTCCTCCTCCTCCTCCTCCACCTCCTCCTCCTCTTCATCCACCTCCTCCTCCTCCGCCTCCTCGTCCTCCTGCTCGTGCTCCTGCTCCTGGTCCTGTTCCTACCCCCCTCCTCACTACCCCTCCTCTTCT